TGGTGGTGATGGTGGTGCTGATGGTGGTGATGGTGGTGGTGATGGTGGTGATGGGTGGTGGTGATGTGGTGATGGTGGTATTGATGGTGGTGATGGTGGTGGTGATGGTGGTGATGGTGGTGGTGGATGGTGGTGGTGATGGTGGTGATGGTGGTGATGATGGTGGTGGTGATGGTGGTGGTGGATGATGGTGGTGATGGTGGTGATGGTGATGGTGGTGATGGTGGTGATGGTGGTGGTGGTGATGGTGATGGTGGTGATGGTGGTGGTGATGGTGGTGATGATGGTGGTGATGGTGGTGATGATGGTGGTGATGGTGATGGTGGTGATGGTGGTGGTGATGGTGGTGGTGAAGATGGTGGTGGTGATGGTGGTGTTGATGGTGGTGATGGTGGTGATGATGGTGGTGATGGTGATGATGGTGGTGGTGGTGGTGATGATGGTGGTGATGGTGGTGATGGTGGTGGTGGTGATGGTGATGGTGGTGGTGATGGTGGTGATGATGGTGGTGATGATGGTGGTGGTGATGGTGGTGATGGTGGTGGTGATGGTGGTGATGGTGGTGGTGGTGATGGTGGTGGTGATGGTGGTGATGATGGTGGTGATGATGGTGATGGTGGTGATGATGGTGATGGTGGTGATGATGGTGATGGTGGTGATGATGGTGATGGTGGTGATGGTGGTGATGGTGATGGTGGTGGTGATGGTGGTGATGGTGGTGGTGATGGTGGTGATGGTGGTGGTGTTGGTGGTGGTGATGGTGGTAGTGGTGGTGATGCTGATGGTGGTGATGGTGGTGATGGTGATGGTGGTGGTGGTGGTGGTGATGGTGGTGATGGTGGTGATGGTGGTGGTGATGGTGGTGATGGTGGTGGTGGTGATGATGGTGGTGATGGTGGTGGTGATGGTGGTGATGGTGGTGGTGATGGTGGTGATGGTGGTGGTAGTGGTGATGGTGGTGGTGATGGTGGTGATGGTGGTGGTGATGGTGGTGATGGTGGTGGTGATGGTGGTGGTGATGGTGATGATGGTGGTGATGATGGTGGTGGTGATGGTGGTGGTGATGATGGTGGTGATGGTGGTGATGGTGATGGTGGTGATGGTGGTGATGGTGATGGTGGTGATGGTGATGGTGGTGATGGTGATGGTGGTGATGGTGGTGATGGTGACGATGGTGATGGTGGTGATGATGGTGGTGATGGTGATGGTGGTGGTGGTGGTGGTGATGGTGGTGATGGTGATGATGGTGGTGGTGGTGGTGATGGTGGTGATGGTGATGATGGTGGTGGTGGTGGTGATGGTGGTGATGGTGATGATGGTGGTGGTGGTGATGGTGATGGTGGTGGTGATGGTGGTGGTGATGATGTGGTGGTGATGGTGGTGATGGTGGTGGTGATGGTGATGGTGGTGGTGATGGTGATGGTGGTGGTGATGGTGGTGATGATGGTGATGGTGGTGGTGATGGTGGTGATGATGGTGATGGTGGTGATGGTGATGATGGTGGTGGGTGATGGTGGTGGTGATGGTGGTGATGGTGGTGGTGAGGTGATGGTGGTGATGATGGTGGTGATGGTGGTGATGATGGTGGTGATGGTGGTGGTGATGGTGGTGATGGTGGTGTGATGGTGATGGTGTATGATGGTGGTGATGGTGGTGGTGATGGTGGTGATGGTGGTGGTGATGGTGGTGGTGGTGGTGATGGTGATGGTGATAGTGGTGTGATGGTGGTGGTGATGGTGGTGGTGATAGTGGTGGTGGTGATAGTGATGGTGGTGATGGTGTTGGTGGTGACGGTGATGGTGGTGGTGGTGGTGGTGATGGTGGTGACGGTGATGGTGGTGATGGTGGTGATGATGGTGGTGATGGTGATGGTGGTGATGGTGGTGGTGATGGTGGTGGTGATGGTGATGGTGGTGATGGTGGTGATGGTGGTGATGGTGGTGATGGTGGTGGTGATGGTGGTGATGGTGGTGATGGTGGTGGTGGTGGTGATGATGGTGGTGATGGTGGTGGTGGTGATGGTGATGGTGGTGGTGATGGTGGTGATGATGGTGGTGATGATGGTGGTGGTGATGGTGGTGATGGTGGTGGTGATGGTGGTGATGGTGGTGGTGGTGATGGTGGTGGTGATGGTGGTGATGATGGTGGTGATGGTGGTGATGGTGGTGATGATGGTGATGGTGGTGATGGTGGTGATGGTGGTGATGGTGGGTGATGATGGTGATGGTGGTGATGGTGGTGATGGTGATGATGGTGGTGGTGGTGATGGTGGTGGTGATGGTGGTGATGGTGGTGGTGAAGGTGATGGTGGTGATGATGGTGGTGATGGTGGTGATGATGGTGATGATGTTGATGATGATGGTGAGGATGGTGGTGATGATGGTGATGATGGTGGTGATGGTGGTGATGGTGGTGGTGAAGGTGATGGTGGTGATGGTGTGTAGTTTAGAGCTTGAGTGGCTCGGTGAGTGAGTGTTGGGTGGGTGAAGTGAGTTGGTGGGTCGGTGGTTGAGTAAGTGGGTGAGGGGTTGGGTGAGCGATGAATTGTGTGGGTGTGTTTTTTGTTCGTGAGTTTATGGGTGAGTGGGTGAGTGGGTGGGGTGAGTGAGTGGGTGGGGTGAGTGAGTGGGTGAGTGAGTGGGTGGGTGGGTGGGGTGAGTGGGTGAGTGAGTGGGTGAGTGGGTGGGTGGGTGGGGTGAGTGGGTGAGTGAGTGGGTGGGTGGGTGGGGTGAGTGGGTGAGTGGGTGAGTGAGTGGGTGGGTGGGGTGAGTGGGTGAGTGGGTGAGTGAGTGGGTGGGTGGGTGGGTGAGTGGGTGAGTGAGTGGGTGGGTGGGTGGGTGAGTGGGTGAGTGGGTGAGTGAGTGGGTGAGTGAGTGGGTGGGGTGAGTGGGTGAGTGAGTGGGTGAGTGAGTGGGTGGGTGAGCAAGTGAGTGAATGGGTGTGTTGGTGGATGAGTGTCGTAGGGTGAGCAAGTGGTTAACTAAGTGAGTGAGTGGCTGGCTGGGTGGGTGAGTTGTTGACTGAGTGGGGTCAGTGTAAGTTGATGTAGCAGTACCACTGTTAGTATTCAGTGGCATATTAAACTGCTGACTTCGCTATTTCTGAGTTTTCTACCCCCACAAACACCACTTCACCCACAACCAGGTGCCCTTTTTTTACTAAAATACCAAAAAAATATTCGTTTGAACAAAACGATTCCGACAAAATGTTGAGGCGGTAAAGTGAATTAAAAACTCACAATGAGCTGAATTATCTGTGTCGTGTTATTGTGTCTTTAGCACGCAGCCTCGCCCCCCTCCCTTGCACCCCCCCCTCCACCAGCCCCGCCCCCCTCCACCCTCTTGCACCCTCCCCACCCCCCTCCACCCGCCCCGCCCCTCCCCCTCACCGCCCCATTGCACCCCCCTCCACCCGCCCCGCCCTCCCCTCCACCCTCTCTACCCCGCCCCCCTCCACCCGCCCCCCTCCACCCGCCCCGCCCTCCACCCGCCCCGCCCCCCTCCACCCCCCACCACCCGCCCCGCCCCCCTCCCACCCCCCCGCCCCCCTCCACCCCCCACCACCCGCCCCGCCCCCCTCCACCCGCCCCGCCCCCTCCACCCCCCACCACCCGCCCCGCCCCCTCCACCCGCCCCGCCCCCCTCCACCCGCCCCCCTCCACCCGCCCCCACCCGCGTCTCTCCGTGAAGGTTGAAAGCTTCTCAGCCGCCGCCATTTCAGTCTCCGACCGACGGCGCGAACAGCAGCAGCAGCAGCAGGTGAGATGGTGTAGAGGCTCGCCCCGGCCCACACACACCACACACACCACCACACACCACCACACACACCACCACACACACCACCACCACACACCACCACACACCCCACCACACACACCACCACACACCACCACACACACACCACACACACCACACACACCACCACACAACACACCACCACCACACACACCACCACACACACCTACACACACACACCACCACACCCACCACCACACCACACACCCACCACACACACCACCACCACACACAACACCACACACCACCACACACACACCACACACACACACACACCTACACGCACACACATACACACACACACGCACAGACGCACAGACACACACGCGCGTGTGTGTCTGTGTGTCTGTGCGTCTGTGCGTGTGTGTGTGTCTGTGTGTGTGTGTGTCTGTGTGTGTGTGTGTGTGTCTGTGTGTGTGTGTGTCTGTGTGTGTGTGTGTGTGTCTGTGTGTGTGTCTGTGTGTGTGCGTGTGTGTGTCTGTGTGTGTCTGTGTGTGTGTGTCTGTGTGTGTGTCTGTGTGTGTGTGTGTGTGCGTGTGTGTGTGTCTGTGTGTGTGCGTGTGTGTGTGTCTGTGTGTGTGTCTGTGCGTGTATGCGTGTGTGTCTGTGTGTGTGTGTCTGTGTCCGTGTGTGTGTCTGTGTGTGTGTCTGTGTGTGTGTGTCTGTGAGTGTGTCTGCGTGTGTGTGTCTGTGAGTGTCTGTGGGTGTGTGTGTCTCTGTGTGTGTGTCTGTGTGTGTGTCTGTGTGTGTGTGTGTCTGTACGCGTGTATGTCTGTGTGTCTGTGTGTGTGTCTGTGTGGGTGCGTGTGTGTGTCTGTGTGTGTCTGTGTGTGTGTGTCTGTGTGTGTGTCTGTGTGTGTGTGTGTGTGCGTGTGTGTGTGTCTGTGTGTGTGCGTGTGTGTGTCTCTGTGTGCGTGTGTGTGCCTGTATGCGTTTGTGTGTGTGTGTGTGTGTCTGTGTGCGTGTGTGTGTCTGTGTGTGTGTCTGTGTGTGTGTGTCTGTGTGTGTCTGTGTGTGTGTGTGTCTGTGTGTGTCTGTGCACTCGTGTGTGTGTGTCTGTGTGTGTGTCTGTGTTAGTCTCTGTGTGTGTGTGTCTGTGCGCTCGTGTGTGTGTCTGTGTTAGTGTCTGTGTGTGTGTGTGTGTCTGTGTTAGTCTCTGTGTGCGGATTTGGTGGGGGGGGGGGGTCATTGCGTGTGTTGTTGTTGTCATCGTCGCAGCAAGCGGGCGCCATGACGGAGTACAAGCTGGCGGTGGTGGGCGCTGAAGGTGTTGGCAAGAGCGCCCTCACCATCCGGCTCGCCCACAACCACTTTGTGGACGACTACGACCCCACCATCGGGGTGAGCGCCGGCGGCCGCGTCGTGTTTGGCACCGCAATGGCCTCGCGGACTTGCGGGCAGCGGTCCCACCTCACCCACCCATCCACCCACCTGCTCACCCACCTGCTCACCCACCTGCTCACCCACCTCACCCACCCAATAACCCACTCACCCACCCACCCACCCACCTGCTCACCCACCTCACCCACCCAATAACCCACCCACCCAATAACTCACCCACCCATCCACCCACCTGCTCACCCACCTCACCCACCCAATAACCCACTCACCCACCCATCCACCCACCTGCTCGCCCACCTCACCCACCCAATAACCCACCCATCCACCCACCTGCTCACCCGCTCACCCGCTCGCCCACCTCACCCACCCAATAACTCACCCACCCACCCAATAACCCACTCACCCACCCACCCACCTGCTCACCCACCTCACCCACCCAATAACCCACCCACCCACCTGCTCACCCACCTCACCCACCCAGTAACCCACCCACCCATCGACCCACCTGCTCACCCGCTCGCCCACCTCACCCACCCAATAACCCACTCACCCACCTGCTCACCCACCTCACCCACCCAATAACCACTCACCCACCCATCCACCCACCTGCTCACCCGCTCTCTCGTCGACCTGCTCACCCAACCGCCTACTCACCCACCCATCTACCTACTCGCCCACCCACCTACTCGCCCACCCACTCGCCTACTCATCTGCTCACCCACCCACCTACTCACCCACCCACCTACTCGCCCACCCACTGCCCACCCACTTGCCCACCTACTCACCCACCCACCTACTCACCCACCCACCTACTCGCCCACCCACCTACTCGCCCATCCACTTGCCCACCCACTCGCCTACTCATCTGCTCACCCACCCACCTACTCACCCACCCACCTACTCACCCACCCACCTACTCACCCACCCACTCGCCCACCCACTCGCCCACCCACTTGCGCACCCACTCGCCCACCCACTCACCTACCTCGTGTGTCGTGCCGCCCTGCACAGGTGCCGCTGCTGCTGCCGTCTGTGTCTGCAGTCAGTTCTCCTGTAACGTGGTTGTCGCTGCGTTCCTGAAGAACCCCCCCCCCCCCAGATGATAATAAATGTATAATCCAGGGGGTCGAGCACGCTCCGCGATCAAACACGTGCGGCGCGCAACGCGGCCGAAGAGACCCAAGAGGCACGTGGAGTAGCGTTGGGTTCTTAACCTTCACTGCGGACTCGCCACCCCCTTGGTCCTCAGTCGCAAAGAAAGCTGCGATGTTGACAACGACCTCTAGACTCTAGACTCTAGAGGGTGTTTGTGAAACAAAGTTGCGTACTCCCGTTGCCCCGTGGCTCAATTTGTGTTTTCGACGATTTGACCTTGGGGGGGGGGGGAGGGTGGCGAGATGCGCCCCCAGGTTCACATCCAGCAGCATCCCGACGCCCCCGGCGTGCGACGACGCTGTGACGGCACGTCCACGTCGCGCGTCGCAACACGCAACAAGCAACAAGCAGCGCGCCGCTACGTGGGGATGGAGCGTCGCCTCAACATCGACGTCGCTGCTGCTCGTTGGGAGAGACAAAAACGCCCCCCCCCCCCCCCGATGCATTTGCCAATCTCGCTGTGTATCCATCACGCGGGAGGCACGGGGTCTGCGCGTGCAAACTCCTTTGCCGCCGACGCATCTGCGAGGCTAATCATTCCCGGTTTTGGGGATGGGGTGGGGGGTATTCTCCGTGCGTGCCTCGGTGCAGGACTCGTACCCGAAGCAGCGGGTGGTGGTCGATGGCGAGACCTGTCTGCTGGACATCCTGGACACGGCCGGGAAGCAAGAGTACAGCGACATGCTGGAGCAGTTCATGCACGAGGGCGAGGGCTTCCTGTGCGTCTTCGCCGTCAACAACTCCAAGTCCTTCGAGGACATCCCCCGGTACAGGTGGGTCGGTGGGTGGCTGACTGCAGCTCCTGTAGCAAGTAGATTGCAGTGAACACGAATTGTTGTTCTCTTGCCGGGCAAGGCCGCACCGAGCCGTGTAGTTCTTTTTCAAAAGCGATCACAAATGATAACCACGACTAGAAGTGGCTTATCATCGTGTGGAAATCTACTAGCAGCAGCCAAATCCACGCGACCACGGTTGAGAGGGAGACGGAGAGAGAGACACGGGGGGCGTAGCGGTGGGGCTGGTTGGGAGGGAGACAGAGAGAGAGACACGGGGGGCGTAGCGGTGGGGCTGGTTGGGAGAGAGGAGAGAGAGAGACACGGGGGGCGTAGCGGTGGGGCTGGTTGGGAGGGAGACAGAGAGAGAGACACGGGGGGCGTAGCGGTGGGGCTGGTTGGGAGAGAGGAGAGAGAGAGACACGGGGGGCGTAGCGGTGGGGCTGGTTGGGAGGGAGACAGAGAGAGAGACATGGGGGGCGTAGCGGTGGGGCTGGTTGAGAGGGAGACGGAGAGAGAGACACGGGGGGCGTAACGGTGGGGCTGGTTGGGAGGGAGACAGAGAGAGAGACACGGGGGGCGTAGCGGTGGGGCTGGTTGAGAGGGAGAGAGAGACACGGGGGGCGTAGCGGTCGGGCTGGTTGGGAGGGAGAGAGAGAGACGTGCAGACTCCAAATATACAGCAGCAACAGGCATCGTCAGCGGTCACGACGGTCGTGGCTTGTTGTTGTTGATGTGCTTGTGTAATCTGGGGTGCACGCCACCCCCAGGGCTTGTGAGATGCGGCCAGATTTTATTCAGAAGGTAAATGGAAACAAATGAAGCCATGGGGCAAAGTGAGTACGCAACTTTGTTTCATCAACAACACTCTACGTCGCTGTGTTTCTTTTACAATTGAGAAACAAAGTGGATGGCAAGGCTGCAGTCAAGGTTAAGAAGCACTGGCTCAGAGGCAGGGGGATCTTGGAAGGAGGAGATTGGAGGGAGAACTACAACATGGGGAAGGTTTGGGAATCGGAGGGATGATTTACAGGGGAGGGGGACTGAGACCCCGACCTCTGCCGTGGCTTCCGTGCGCAGGGAACAGATCCAGCGCGTCAAGGGCTCGGAGGACGTGCCGATGGTGCTGGTGGGGAACAAGTGCGGCGTGCCCACGCGGACCGTGGACACGAAGCAGGCGCAGGAGCTGGCGCAAGGCTACGGCATCCCCTTCGTGGAGACCTCCGCCAAGACCCGGCAGGCACGCGGACGCCGGGGGAGAGAGGGGGGGGCAGCTGGGGGGGTTGGTGAGTAGCCAGGGGGGATAAGTGGCGGCCGGTGGGAATGTGCTGCGCTGCGCCGTGAACCCGGCGGTCCAGGGAGTTCCCACGTGCCTGGGAGGCCACGTGGCCACGTGTGTGAGTCTACCCGTGTTGGGTCTGCGTGTCTGCCTGTGTGTGAGACTACCCGTGTTGGGTCTGCGTGTCCGCCTGTGTGTGACTACCCGTGTTGGGTCTGCGTGTCTGCGCGTCTCTGCACGTGCCGAGTCCGCCTGTGTGTGAGGCTACCCGTGTTGGGTCTGCGTGTCTGCCTGTGTGAGACTACCCGTGTTGGGTCTGCGTGTCTGCGCGTCTCTGCACGTGCCGAGTCGGTCCCGTACGAGAGCACGGGGCCCTTCCTCTAACAAACTCCCTCCGGTGGCGGCCACTGCGTGCGTCTGTCCTGCAGGGCGTGGAAGATGCCTTCTGCACCCTGGTGCGCGAGATCCGCAAGTACAAGGAGCGCCGCGTGAGCAAAGACGTGTGCAAGAAGAGAAAGAAATCGAAGAGGAGGAAGTGCCGCCTCATGTGAATTTCATTTCCCCCCCCCCCGCCCCATTCCTCCTCCCTGCCTCTCCCCTCCCTCCTCCGACGGTGACGAGAGAACGACAACCACCAGCCACCATGTCCGGCGAAGGAGACACGGTGCGCAACGACTCCAAAGCCGCCCACTGCAATCTTGGGAGGGAGGGGGGAGGTGCTGCGGAGGTGGTTGTTGTTGTGCATTTCTCGAACGCGAGCGAGCGAATCGGTGAGCGCGGAGGTTTGCGTTTGGTGGAAAAAAACGGGAAAAAACTAATAAAATGTAAAACGTTGGGCTAAGACGATTGTTTTTGTTTGCGCTTGTGGAAAATGCCTGGTGAAAATGATTTGATGGTGGTGGTGGTGGTGATGTTGTTGATGATTGTTGCTGCTGTTTGCCGGATATACAAGTGGGGTCTGTCATTATTTACCACCACACTCTGGATTTGCTCTGGGATACTCCAGACAGAAAGTAAATACTTTCCCCCTCCACCCACCACCACTCTCTCCCCGTGGAGATGTTTACTCACTCGCCTGGTACGCAGGAGGTCGTGGGTTCGTACCCGACCCTGACGCCTGCTGCTGCTGCTCTATATTTGGAGTTGGCGTGTTCACTCCCTCCCCGTGGTCGCGTGGAATCGACATCACCACGCGGTTCGGATTATCCCACGCGAGTGATGATGACGATCTGCCACTTGGTGTGGGCTATCATTTGTGGCTGGCCAGGTGGCTTCATTTCTATAGCACTTCGTGCAAAAAATGCTTTGCAGGCATGAACAATACAAGTTTAATTGTAGGCAAAATAAAAATCACATTGTAACAAATTTTGAGCAAAGAACTAATAAAAAAAAATACCACGTGGTTTAAATCCTAATTCAAAGCAAGTTCAAAGTCACTTTTTAGATGTGTTTTAAAAAGTGCTTTGATTTTGAAGAAACCCCCTAGAGCTCCCACACAGCCTTACCGTGGGACCTCCTTTGTCAGTACCAACATATGATGAGAGGTTTTCCCCCGTTTTTCTGGCAACAAAACAGCTGCGTCAAGATGTTCAAACACCAAAGTGAGACCTTCTACAAGGAATCCTGCTGCCACTTGTGGCCACGTCACTTCTGCTCTGCAGCTCGGCGCGCTTCAGCTGGTACAACACAACACGTGGTGCAGCTAGTAGGGACAATATGTTCCACATTGCCCACCAGGGATTGGTTGTCTGTCGTGCATATATATATAATATAAACAGCGAACGGATGTGGGGTCTGTGTGTGTGTGGGCGAGCGAACGGATGTGGGGTCTGTGTGTCTGTGTGTGTGTCTGTGTGGGCGAGCGAACGGATGTGGGGTCTGTGTGTCTGTGTGGGCGAGCGAACGGATGTGGGGTCTGTGTGTCTGTGCGTCTGTCGTGGGCGAGCGAGCGAACGGATGTGGGGTCTGTGTGTCTGTGTGTGTGGTAGCCCATATAGTCAAGGTGGTTTTGAAGTCCTTGGCTTAATTAGGAATTGCTCATTCTTCGGGATTGATGAATTTGCAATGATTGCAGTAGTCTTATGTTCCAAAGTATTAGTTGGATCTCGTTTGATTGGCCGTGTCGGGTGGAGGAGGGTGACGACACATTTATAAATAACGCGATCTCACCCAAAAACGTTGAGTATGAATAATATTGGTCGCCAATGCCTTACACGTGTTAAACATGTCTTTTAAAAAATACAAGTCGATTTTGGGTAGCAGATGAGAAAGCAAAAATCTAAATTGCAAATGCAATTTCACAAGTTCAGTTATAAAACAGGTCCTGTGGCTTTAAGTAAAATACCTGTAAGTACTGAATATCTATTAAATGTTTTAATGTCATTGAATAACTGCACACTCAACAAATTGAAAATCAACAAAACATTACTGAAGATGCAATAGCACGGCTTGTACTGCCGTCGGGTACACGCGCAGTCACATTTCTGTTGATGAATAAAAACACATTTTTCATTTATTATTGAGCACGACTGCTTTGTCGCAGCTGCTCGTGACCCCAAGCACGAGTGTCCGTGTTGGGCTGCTGCATGCTGGGGCGTCTCTCTCTCTCTCTCCCCTTCAGCTTGCAAAATTCACCACTGCGGGCAAATGCAGGCAATACATTCGGGGCATTGAATTCGGAGCGCTGAATTCGAGGCATTGAATTCGACATGCAGTCCCAACATGAACAATAAAAAGACTTGGGTTGTCTAAGAAGAATGTTACTGGCTGGCCTCTCTGCACAATAGAATCATATGGCGATGTCACACAAAAGTTTCCCTTCAAACTGCACACACAACAGGCATTTAATAATAAACAAAAACATTCCACTAGCATAGGGTAGCACCACACACTTTCCATCTACAGTGAGGGAAACAAGTATTTGATCCCCTGCTGATTTTGTACGTTTGCCCACTGACAAAGAAATGATCAGTCTATCATTTTAATGGTAGGTTTATTTGAACAGTGAGAGACAGAATAACAACAACAAAATCCAGAAAAACGCATGTCAAAAATGTTATAAATTGATTTGCATTTTGTCTCAAATACACAAGATGGTGAGTGTGCAGAATGTCCGTCAATGAGCGATGGGAATTCTCTTTGGCATAACTTCACATCTCATGCAGCTCTGCACAGCCGACTGAGATCCCCAGACCCAGCTCGTTGGGACACACGTGCGCAGCAACAGAACACCGTGTACATCGTGCACCGAGAAAACAGATTTTAGTTTGTTTTTAGTGTCCATTAGAAGGAGCCCTTCAATTGCCTTTTCACGCCAATCCTGGCAGAAAGACCGACTACACTGGAGGTAGCACGAGACGTCCTTTGGTCTACTCTTCCACGATAGCCAGACACCTTGAAAGAGGTGGGAATAGCCACAAGTTTGCTAAACTCTGAACCCATTTATACTCCGTGTGGACCAGAGATCGATTACATTCAAGCGGTAACCTCCAGACGACAAGTCCAGTGTGCTAGCCACGCCTCCATGGCAGCATTGCTGTTGTCGTCTTGTTTGTTTGTTTATTATGAACCAGTCGAGTACACTACTGTAGGGGTGTTACGGGAGGGCGAACAAACACACCAGGGGTGGTTGTGCCCGCACGCGGAAGGATGCTTACATCCACGTCCGCATCGGTTAGCCCTGGGGGGCTGTGACGGCGCTGTGATCCCCCACGGCCCCACCCCTCGGGGGGGGAGTTGCTATATAAGGCGGTGAGCCGGAGGGCTCGGGGTTCAGTGTTTAGCTTAAGCCAGTGAAGAGTGAAGACCGGCTAGATAGGCCCTGGGACTCCCCTGGATCGCTGTCCTTCTCAGGAGCGACCAGGGCAAGCCAGTGGCGTGGCCCCAGAGCCCAGAGCCGATGTTCTTGTAAGAGCCGGTTTGGTGACTCAGGGTGCCGTGATCCCAGCTTGGCCAGAGCTGGATCAGCTAGCCTCCCCTAGCTCTCGAGTGGAGGAGCTGGGAGTAGGCTAGCCGGGTTAGACAGTGGGGTCTCCCTGTGAGACGGGTGAAGGGGCCGTCACCCCTGCGAGTGTTGTATACATTGGCCTGTGCTGAGTGTGAAGTTATAATAAATAAGTGTGCCTCCGACTACGTCGTCTACGTCTCCTTGAACTCACGACATATGGATTCTTGGAGGCTTTATTTTGGCCATCGGCCATCACGAAAATGTCCGTCTGCTTATGATGGCGTACGTGCCGATTTATCCTGGATCCGCCCATGAGATCCACGTATTGGCCTCCGCTGCCCTCCTGGGTAATCCTCGTGCGACAGAATTGTCAACTGGTATAAAGCGGGAGATGTTCTGTGGACCACTCAAAATCCAGGGCCTCGAACGGCAGCCCCTGCTGCCCCTGGTGATTGTGTATGTACAATCTCTTTTTACTATATTAATAAAATTTAAGATTTTTTTTTTAAATGAGCAGTGCCACCTGTTCCCGAGTTTGGGGCTTCCTGACTCCGGGGCGGTGCGACCCTGAGAGACGTTGACGGATGCTGAGGAACCCACGGCGTCGCCCTCCATCCTGACCGTGCGTGTCTCTGCATCTTAAGGCGTGAAAATATTGTTTAGCCAAGGGGGGGTATTTATCCCACTCGGGTCCAAATATACAGCAACAAACAACAGTCAATTTGTACTGAATACCTCTTCAAAGAAATGTCCATAGTACAGGTTCACTCTCCAATGGGTGACACTTTTTTTTTTATAAAACATTAAATTAGCATTATACAGTTTTTCAGTAAATGTCAGAAATACAATTTTTTTGGTGTAACATCAAACGTGCAGTGTGCAAATGTGTGGCCGTGTGTGTCTATGGACGTGTGTCCTTTGTGGTTTCACTTCACGTGGCCTCAACGTGCACATAGCCTGGTACAAGCGCCGTGGTGACGTCACCGCCACTTAGTGGCGCTTGTTGTTGTTGTTGTTGTCTCTTAGTGTTCACGCACGTCTCTGGTTCTGTGTCTGTGGGTGTCCTTGTCTGTGAGTGCAGGAGGTGGTGCTGTCGGATGTCAGCAGCACCATATCGACCTCCCAGAATGAGCACAACAGCAGCGATGGGGGACACGTCTTGAACCAACCGGACTGCATCGTACCTCGTGGCGTTATGCCCTGTGGCAGCTTGTCATTCCACTTTGGCTGGGGCCTTGACTTTCACTCAACATTGACACAAATTATTTACAATGCAGATTTTTTTTTCTTCTGAAAAATATTTTTTTTTTCTGAAAAAAACCATGAACGTGTTTGTGTGTTTGAATCTTAGAGTCAGAGTCTCAGCCACGCGTGACATCTCAAGTCACCGATTTACAACTTTTACTCAGCCTACCTTGTCAAATCCCATCCATGTTGACAGGACTTCACCCAAACTCTTGAATCCATCATTTCTTGAGTGCATCATTGCCGCCGCTTGAAATAGAATGGGCTAATGGGGAGTTAAGGGGAGGCGGAGTGTGGAACGAGTCGTGAGGGGAATTATGGGAAAAGTGGCACGCTTGGGTTTCCTGTTCACTTTCTGAA